GTTCTCTCACTGTTCTCTCACTGTTCTCTCACTGTTCTCTCATTGTTCTCTCACTTTTCTCTCACTGTTCTCTCACTGTTCTCTCACTTTTCTCTCACTGTTCTCTCACTGTTCTCTCACTGTTCTCTCTTCAGGCCAGCTGATTTCTGATGACATCGCTGAGATTTTTACCCGGTTTGACCAAAAATACATCACCCCGTACGGAAACACCCTCGCCACCAAGTCGGCCAGCGCCCAGTATGATGACAGTTACCTTGGTAACCACACACACACACACACACACACACACACACACACAGATGAAAAGGCCCGAGCACTCGGGGTGTGCTGCGGTCTCGTCATGCGCCAAAGTATCACATGTACGTTCAAATAACTATCTCTTTGTGTTCACCAGGATACTCTGTGACCGTTGGAGACTTTAACGATGATGGAAAAGAAGGTAAATATAAAACATTGTAGATTAGTTTACCACCACATATCAGAACCTGCCTTACATCGATCAATAAGTCTGAGCACCGATTAGATTTACATACAGAATATTATAGTGATTATTAGTTACATTAACTGTAGAGCTGCAGCAGTCAGATCCATTGATACTGTGATATTATTGATTAGTGTGACAATTAATCATTTTTGCAGCTTTTTGTTGATTTCTATGAAGAAATGAAATACTGATTTTTAAAGTTCTGATTATTATTTATTCTCTAAACTTGGAAGTTTGTATGATCTGTAAAAAAATAAAAACATACAACACAGAATTATATAAAACAAATAATAATAATAAACTAGAAAATTCCTAAAGAAATTTTGAGTGTGCCTGACTCTGGCCCATACATTACTGACACTGCCGAGTAGTTTACAGTATGTGACCTCTACCATTGCTTAGGTATGTGACAGATCAAGCTTTCAACATGTGTGTGTTCATATGAGAGAACAAATAGACTGTTCAAAATGTAGCATTGACAGTTTGCAATATTAGAAATATTGTGAAAATTCTGACTAGCAGCCAGCTATACTTTACTGCTAGCCTAATGCTTGGTGTATGTGAACCACAACACATTGACACTACTCAGTAATCTCATGTCACATGTTCACAGTCAGGCTTGGTAAGAAGGGTCCAGCTGCGGCTTGGACGTTCCCGTCATGACACAAGAACGCCTATTGGGCGTTCCTGGTAGCCTTTCATCGACCAATCGCAATTCATACTTTGCAGTCACGTGGTTACCATGGATACCTGGCGGGCAAGAAACGCCGACTTTATCTGTCTATTATAGTAAATTTCGAGTGAAGTAGATTTAATAGACGTAACTGAAGTCAGAAAACAATCACAGTGATCTTGATTTTGGATACGGACGTTTATTTAGTTAGACAAATTCCATACCAGGACTTGAATTACAGCGTGTTATATGTCAAATCACATGAGGAAATGATTGCCTTGGTTTTTCCGTTCAGTACGTAGTACGACGTTACGACGTACAAAAGAATAAAAGCATTTATTTTGATGGGTGGGCCATGTTGCAAAACCTCGTAGATAATTACAACACCAGAACATTGAATTAAGCAATGCAATTGTTGTTAGTTTTAATTTACTTGAGTGAAAGCATGCGCAGCGCTGTTTGTAAGCCTTCGCTGAATGAATGCCAGGGGAAACACCGACGTCCTGGCAAGATCCTTGATTAGTTTACTGGGTTTCGTTGCTGGAGAACGATGTTCTTGCCCGCCAGCCAGTAGTTGTGACGTCACATGCAAAGTATGAATTGTCCTCAACAACTCGTAGAAATATAGACTAGTCCTACACGTAAATGTAAGCGTATTAAGATGTAATTGGACTAACGTTCTGTAGATGGCTTAGCTTGCTAACATTAGTTCTATAATACATTTACAGACTACTAGATCTTATTTTGAAACTTCTGTTGAGAAACACTAACTAGCGAATGTTATATTAAACCGGATGTTGACAGTTACAGTTCAGCAAGAAAGGCGAAGAAGAAGGGGGCGTTCCAGTCAGCAAAAACGGGAACCCCCACCAGCACGAGAACGCCCATTTATGGCGGCAGTTGGATGATATTGGGCTTGTGAGGGGCAGGCTTTGGTTGCCTGGCAACCAGGGCCAGGCCACAGCAGTTAAGCGCAGCTGCGCCCTTTCTCTCTGTCGCTGACTCCTGAGAGAGACAGAAAATTTCAAAATGAACCCCCTCGAACCATTGGCCAGGAACGACCGAAATGAAAACCGAAAAGACCATGAGCATCCTCATCTTGTTGACTGTAGAACTGCCGAGTTTCAGTGGCTAAAGTCAAAAGATGTGACCTCGGGAGATTGAGGAAGAAATGGTACAACGAACTCCTTTCAAAATTTCTCCTCTACAATTAACATGGGATTAGATGGGGCCGTGAAAGGGTGTTGCTGGCGCATCAGTGAGTTTCCCGCCAAAACTATTTGTCTGACAGCTTCAGCAGTGGTATCACTGTGACCCCAACGGATTTACCTACGTTTCTATCTATAATTTATTTCTGTACAGTGACATTTGTGGCCTTGAGAGCAGTTTACAAATTTATTTTTCGACAAATGTTTCTCACTCTCTACACTCTAGTGATAATATCACGCACTCTAGCTGTGAGCGTTCTACCAATACACACCCATTCATTTTTTTGGCCTGGCTTCTGGTGATTTATCGGCAAACTGTTTGGTGAGACGCTTAGAAAAGTCATAGCACTAATCTCCCGGCCGAGCCGCACGTTTTGATACCTTTTTGTGTATGTGCGACCAAAACTGCGGGAGGAGTAGTCGACTGAAAAACGTACGGAAGAAGAATAATAAATAGAAAATTCCTAAAGAAATTTTGATTGTGCCTTGCTCTGGCCCGTGACTCTGGCCCATACATTACTGACACTGCCGAGTAGTTTACAGTATGTGACCTCTACCATCGCTTAGGTGTGTGACAGATCAAGCTTTCAACATCTGTGTGTGTGTTCATATGAGAGAACAAATAGAAATAGCAGCTTGTTGTTACGGTGATGACGTACGAAGGGCAGAGTTGAAAGGGCAGAGAGGGTGCGTCTATATTTTACTATATTTTTTGTTCATCGTATCCTCATTTCTCTGTCCTTCACCATGACACACACATAATACACGGTTAATCAGCATTCTTACCTGTGTTTAATTCCGCGTACGCGTGATCCACCAACCACCCCGTATTTTAATAATGAATCATGTTTTTTCCATCTATTCCCACGATCTTCTCCCACTGAAATAGTGAGGCTGGTAACGAGTTGATGCGACAAAGTCGTTCAAAAACTTGGTATTTATGTATTATATTGATGCCGAATTGACAAGAAGACTGTTGAGATATGATGAGTTTTTTTCTTGTGTTTCTACAGTTATGTGCTTTTATGTAAACGCAAATAATTGTTAATATATGGTATTTCTTAAATGAAGCTTGGCATAATATTGTCCTGGGATAATGCAGGAATGGTGGTTGGTTTAATAAAAATTGCTAAAGTAACTAAATAAGTAATAACCACAATGATGGGAATAATAAGTATGTAATAATAATAATAATAAAAAAATAATAACAACAATGACAATAATAAGTAATGCTATCAATAACATGAATAACAATATTTATATTAATAGGTAATACATAATTAAGAAAGAAAGCTATTCTTAATGTGCAGTCATAGGCAGTGTAGGTTTTTTAAAGTTTTAGAAAAGTGTCCACCAGACCCCCATACCCGTTAACATAGAATGAACGTTGTAGACTTTTATTTTGAAACACCACCCTCAGCCCAATTTTCAAGTTAGGGTCCAGAACATTGGTTCAGACTCAATGTGTAGTTTGCTGTCCAGATGTTGTATGGGACCTTATTAATGTTAATGTTAATGTATTCTGCCCTAAAAAAGCATAACCACAGTAACTGAGAGTGAAAACTGAGAAAAATGGCTTTAAAGTTTTTTGACTGGCTGACTAGAATGGTGGTTATATGCATTATTATTATGTGTATTACCATAAACAGATATGTAGGTAGTGAAAATCACGACTACAGTTACAACAGTCTGAGTGTCTTCTTCCTCACAAAATAAATCTAACTTGATGTTTTATTACATTAGTAAATCTGTATTACTTGTGTCATGTGTAACAAGTTGAAATAGATGGATAATTAAGAATTTCAGTGTCTTTTGTGACATTTAATTAGCACAGTAATCCTTTGTCCTCTCTAGCTAGCGAGTGCTAGCACATTCATACCTTGTTCTGTCTAGCTAGCTTGCGCTAGAACATTAGTAGCTTATCCTCTCTAGCAAGAAAAGTATTTTAATTAATTAGCCTTCTAATACCTTCTTCTACCTTCTAATTCTCTTTAGCTAGCTAGCTACACATAAACACATTAACCAAAGCTAGCGCATAGCTAAGCAAATTTAATTGAATTGAATTAATCGCTAGCTACGCGGTAATCGCTAGCTAAGCGCTAATCATGTTCTTAGCTACACTATCAGTGCGTTTCTCACCAAAACTATTTGTCTGACAGCTTGATCAGTGGTATCACTGCGACCTCAATGGATTTACCTACGTTTCTATCTATAAATTGTTTCTGTAGAGTGATATTTGTGGCCTTTGGTCTTCGACAAATTTTCTCTCTCCCTACACTCTAAGTGAATCGACAGTTATTTTCAGTTGAACATTCTACCAATACACACCCATTCATTTTTTGGCCTGGTTTTTGGCGATTTATTTGCAAACTGTTTGGCGAAACGCTTAGAAAAGTCATAGCACTAATGTCCTCACAGAGCCGCACGTTTTGGTACCTTTTTGTGTATGTACGACCAAAATTTGCGGGAGGAGTAGTCCGCCGAAAAACGTACGGAAAAATAATAATAAGCACGGGGAATAATAGTGTGCTTTCCAGGCACACTAATAAAACTCTGTAATCGTCCATTTTACACAAACGTCCTGCAGTTATTGAGTTCACTGTTCAGTTTATCAGTTATTGAACTGAATATAATATAAAATTAAAGCTGCAAGCAGCGTTGAGCGGGACCTCGCACTCCACGTAACTCGGGGCGTGCTGCGGCCGCGTCGCATGCCGACTTAAGACGTGCGGACCACGACACGAAAATCACACGTAAATCAGCTCAAAATAGCCACCCAGCGCTTACTTCCTGTTGCTAGTAGGTGGCGCTATCACTATGTCTGAATGTTGTCATGTAGACATGTTCAAGGCAAGAGTGTTATCAAACACATGAAGTTTCATTGAGATTGGACCGCACACTGAAGTTATGAGTGCTGTTTAATGGAAAATCGGCTGAAATCGACAAGTTGTCACTGGCAGGCGGTTTGATGTACAGTCACAAATAGCTCAACTTTTCAATCAGTTTGTATGACCACAGAATTCAAAATGGCCAACTTTGACGGTACGACACAGACACGCCCTTCAATGTACAGTCTCAAATAGCACAACTTTTGATAACCAATGTGTGTAGATTGAAGTGATCGAATTTGAAGTCAATCTGATAAAATCTGTAGGAGGAGTTTGTTAAAACAGAAGCCCTTAAAGGCCGGAAATAGCATCACAGTTTGACATTCGATTCAACCTGGCCAACTTTGAGGGAACACCACGGACACGCCCTTTAACGTACAACTTTTAATCAAGACCATTTTCTGACTGTACTGACCAATTTTGAAGCAGATCCGATAAATTCCCTAGGAGGAGTTTGCTCAAATACAACACGAAAAATCACAGAAAATTACCAAAAAAATCAAAATGGCTGACTTTGATGCCACGCCACGGACACGCACGGACACGCACGGACACGCCCTTTAATGTACATGCACAAATAGCACAACTTTTAATCAGCACAATTTTTTGACTGTACTGACCAATTTTGAAGTAGATCAGATAAATACCCTAGGAGGAGTTCGTTCAAATACAAGGCGAAAAACTCAACGAAAATGCACATGGAATTCATTATGACCAACTTTGAGGGCACGCCACGGACACGCCCTTCAACGTACATGCACAAATAGCACAACTTTTAATCAGAACCATTTTTTGACTGTACTCACAAATTTTAAAGCAGATCCGATAAATTCCCTAGGAGGAGTTCGTTCAAATACAATGTGAAAAATTTGGCGAAAGTGAAAATCAAAATCAAATGGCTGACTTCCTGTGGGGTTTCGGGTATGGGTCCAAGAGGCTTTTTTGTATGTCCCGGCATGTTACACGTGCCTACCGAGTTTTGTACATATCAGTGAAACGTGGCGCCAGTTTTTGGTATGTGAGCTTCAGGCACCACTCTACACGTGCCCTGTGAATTTCATAACTATTACGGTCTCCGCACAGTGATTTACCATGCCACCAGAGCGCCACCTAGTGGCGGATTGTTGACACATTTTTTAGTGAGCCTCAGGGAGCCATGGGGAAGCATCGTACCAAGTTTCATCTTAAGCACACATACCGTTGTAGAGATATAAACTTCTTCATTTTAAAGAGCACCACCTTGTGGCTATGGCCTGAAACTGTGCAAGATGCTTAAGGAAGACATGTGGAACTATGGACCCAAGTTTGGTGTCAATCGGTGATACCAATGTTGAGAAATGGTCCACTTCCTTTGTTGACGAAAAATCCACAGGAAGTGCTAATTTTGTAACGTGCTGATTATTTTAAATATCAAAATTCTTTTAATCAGTTTTTTATTATGAGGGTCCTCAGATGCTACGTGAAAATTTTTGTACGAATCGGACAAAGCACATAGGAGGAACACGAAAAAGTAGTTCATGGACATTTCGCGCTCTGCCAGAAAAAAATTCCAGGCAGAAGTGGGCGTGGCCTATATGGGGAGATTCAGCTCCATTCACTGAACGCGTGGATAGAAGTTTTTTGAATGTGCGACAAACGATGCAGAAGTTATTAGCCTAAACGCACTTTTCATGATAGTAGCGGACCCGAAAGTGACGCATAGAATATCAAATTTTTCACCAGGCCTGACCACTTTGCCAAATAAAATTTACTTTTCGTATATGTTCAGGGGGGCAAATACGCAATCAAAAGTGCTAAAAATAATAAGAAGAATACGGAAGAAGAAACGAAGCAAAACAATAGGGACCTCCAGCGGTCGCTTGCGAGGTCCCTAATAAGTCTGTCGGGCCTTTTTTCACCTTTTTGTGCCATTTCAGAGAGCAAATAAAAAACATTTGATAGATTAATGGATGATGAAGAGTTTGTTAGTCAGATGTTTCCACGTCTGTTTCTCCTCCACAGATTATGTGACTGGAGTTCCTCGTGGGGAGAAGGCGCTGGGTTATGTAAGTGTTAACACCCAGAGCACATTACTGTCCCCAGTCTCCTCAGCTGCTTCCTGTTCACTGAATGAAGACCCTTCACTGCCACATGCTCACTGAAACTGATCTTTCTCATGTTTTAGGTGAACATCTTCAACGGCGTCAACATGGAGTCTGCGTTCAACGCCACAGGAACGCAGGTGAGCTGCAGGAACGTACAGCACAGAAAGTATCGCAATACTGTATCAGTACACTAAAACGCTGTTTCCATTTTTAATTCATAGTTTACACATGCAAACACTCATTCTCTCTCCACTCTGTCTCTCTGCTCTCTCTCTCCACTCTGTCTCTCCACTCTCTCTCTCCGCTCTCTCTCTGCTCTCTCTCTCTCCTCTCTCTCTCTCCGCTCTCTCTCCGCTCTCTCTCTCTCTCCGCTCTCTCTCTCTCTCTCTCTCTCTCTCTCTCTCTGTGAGTGGAGTGTGAGTGTGAGTGGAAGAGTTGGATGAAATTGAGTGTTTTTCTCTCTTTCTATTTCTTTCTTTCGGTATATTTTCGTTGTGTTGTGTTTGTGAATGTAGTTGTGTTAGTTAAGTGTTATTTTGGTTGGTTTTTGGTTGTTTGTTGGTTAGTTTAGTGTTTGTTTGTTTGTTGTTTGTCAGCCTCGCTCTGAGGCGCCGGTATGGCGTCCAGCAGCGTTTTCTCCAGGCTGACACGGAAGCACGGCATTAAAACCGGAGCCGGCTCTCCGTGCAGGGTGGAGGAGGTAGCACTGGCCGTGGGGAAATCATCGGGCACGGCTCTGTGAAGTCCGCTGCCCGGATGAACAGTGCGGTGGTTCTGTTCCTAAAGAAGGTAGAACTTGTTTGTTTGATTATCGGTTCAGAGTCCGTGTGGATGATTTTGAGTACATTCTCTTTGCAACATCATCCACTGTGAAATGTTTCAGATGTGGCGAAGAGGGACATTTGATTAAGGCCTGTCCGAGCCGCGGTGCCCTGGCTGCTGCGGGTGCGGCGGCGGCTGCCCCTGCGGGGATTTGGGCGGTACCCGCTGCGGTGGTAGCAGGTGAGCTGAGTGAGGGGAGCACAGTAGCTGAGGCTGAAGAGATGGAGGCCTGTGAGTCTGGGTGGGGGTCTGCTCCTCTTAAACAGCGCAGTAAGAGGAGAAGCATGTTGACCGTGGAGGTGGGTGGTAAAGCCGGACGTCTGGCCGGTAAACCGAGTGCTGCAGAGAACAGAGCAGCTCTATCTGACAGCAGTGACAGTGAAGGGTGTGTGTCTGACAGCAGTGACCTGTCTCACACTCAGCAGGCTGCTGCTCAGGTGTATACTGCCAATGTACTGAAGTCTTTTTTACAACAGACCAAAGGGATGAGGAAGCCAGTGTTAGAGCAGTACTTCCCTGATATGCAGGGTTTCTATAACTCAGCCAGGTATACTGTGAAACACAGAGCAGAGTCAGAGCTGACTGACCAAGAAATATTCAGACTGAAAAAACTGATTATTAAAGTCAGAAAACAACTCAGTTTTTAATGATGGTGAATGTAAGGATTTTATTTTTATTTATTTCATTGATTGTTTTTAGTTTTGTTCTTAACATCTCCATCATTATGAATGTTTTTAAAGTAGGCAGTCTGAATGTCAATGGTGCCAGAGAAACAAGAAAGAGAGCAGTAGTGTTTGAAACGGCTAAAATGAAACATATTGATGTTCTGTTTCTACAAGAAACTCACAGTGATGTTGGAAACGAGGCAGACTGGAGCAGAGAATGGGAAGGAGAACTGATTTTAAGCCATAACACCACCCTCAGTGGAGGAGTGGGCTTCCTGTTCTCCAGAGGTTTTACTCCAACCTCTCTGGAGGTCAGGCATGTTGTGGAGGGGAGGTGTCTTTCAATCAGAGCTCGTTTTGAACATTTTAATGTGGTTTTTATCAACATTTATGCTCCAAACAACGGTGCAGAGAGGAAACACTTCTTTGAAAATATGAATGATATTTTAAACAGCTGTGGCCCGGAGGATTATTTATTCGTGGGTGGGGATTTTAATTGTACTGAAAATGAGATTTTAGATCGCAACCATGCAGAGCCTCATCCAGTATCCCAGCATGCCTTGAGGCAGCAGGTCTCCTCCCATGGCCTGGTGGACGCGTGGAGAAGGATGCACACAGGCTGCAGACAGTACACATGGTCCCACGTTAGAGAAAACAGAATCTCTTTAGCCAGACTTGATCGTTTTTATGTTTTTAAGCACAGAGTCAGTGTTGTTAAAATGTGTAAGATTTTACCAGTTGGTTTTACTGATCATTCTTTGGTTTTATGTAACGTTTTTATCAGAAACATTTTACCCAGAAGCGCCTATTGGCATTTTAACTCTGTTTTAACTGTTAATAAATCTTTCAAGGAGGCTTTAAGCTTAAGGTTTCTGCCTTTTAACAGGCAGTTTTTCCTTGCCCTTGTCTCCAAGGTCTTGCTCATGGTGGTACTGTTGGGTCTCTGTAAATAATGTTATAAGGAGTTCGGTCTAGACCTGCTCTATTTGAAAAGTGTCCTGAGATAACTTCTGTTATGAATTGGCGCTATACAAATAAAATTGAATTGAATTGAATTGAATTGAAGCTATTTTTGGAATGATTTTAAACAGAAAAAAACGAGTTTGTCAGTCTGAGGCAGTGGTGGGACCATGGGAAGGTTCAAATGAAACTTTTATGTCAGAAGCACACGCTCAATGTCACACGCGACATCTCCAGATCTATCAGAGATCTGGAGACTGATATTGTGGATCTCGAGTGTACAAGTGAGTCCACAGGAAATCGAGGATATATTGAAATCCTCAAGACTAAAAAGATGGCATTAGCCAACCTGCTGGACACTAAAGTACAGGGTGCGCTGGTCCGGTCCCGGATTCAAAATATCACAGAGATGGATGCTCCATCGAGTTTCTTCTTTGGGCTTGAGAAGAAACAAGGGCAGAGGAGACAAATCCACTCTCTGCTCTCTGAGACAGGGCAAGAGCTGACAGAGCCAGGCCTGATAAGGAAAAGAGCTGTTGAGTTTTACGCCTCATTGTTTGAGAGTGAGTTCAAGGAAAATGAAGAACTGATGGAGGAGTTCTGTGGTGGACTTCCTCAGATATCTAGAGAGGCTAATTCACAGCTCGACAGCCCACTGACTCCACAAGAGCTGTACGCTGCACTGCAGAGCATGCAGGGGCGAAAGGCTCCAGGCATCGACGGCCTCACTGTAGAGTTCTACAAAGCCTTCTGGGACATCTTGGCCCATGACATCATAGATGTGTTTAATGAGAGCCTGGTGTCTGGGTCACTGCCAATCTCATGTCGGAGAGCCATAATTACCCTCTTGTCAAAGAAAGGTAATTTGCAAGAAATCAGAAACTGGCGTCCTGTCTCTCTCCTCTGCACTGACTACAAAATACTGTCTAAAGTCCTGGCCAATAGGCTGAAAGGAACCATGGAGCAGATTCTCCACCGGGACCAGACGTACTGTGTGCCCGGCAGGTCTATGGTAGATAATATCTACCTCATTTGGGATGTTTTGGAGGTCTCCAGTTCATTAGGCATAAACACTGGATTGATCTCATTAGATCAAGAAAAGGCTTTTGACCGCGTTGAACACGACTTCCTTTGGAAGGTCATGGAGAGGTTTGGGTTCAGCGCTGGTCTCACAGCCAAGATCAAGGTGTTGTACAGTGACATTGAGAGTGTGCTAAAGTTTAATGGTGGCTTGTGTGCTCCTTTTAGAGTGCATAGAGGCGTCCGACAGGGTTGTGCCCTGTCTGGGATGCTCTATGCACTCTCCCTGGAACCCCTCCTACAAAAGATAAGATCATCTGTTAGAGGCCTGTTTTTACCTGATTTCAACAGTAGTGTTGTTTTATCTGCTTATGCTGACGATGTCGTTGTTTTTATCAAAGATCAACAGGATGTGTGTGTTTTAAATTCTGTAATCGAGAAGTTTTCTGTTGTGTCGGCTGCGAGGGTGAACTGGAGGAAGAGCGAGGCTCTTGCTGTTGGTGAATGGCGGGAGGGCCTCCCTGTTCTTCCTCAAAGCCTGATATGGAGAAGAGAAGGCTTAAAGTATCTCGGTATTTATCTTGGGAACAGCGACATTGGAAAGAAAAACTGGGAAAACATTTTAGAAAAAGTGGATAACAAACTGGCTAAGTGGAGGTGGCTCCACCCACAAATATCTTTTAGAGGGAGGGTCCTAATCCTAAACAACCTGGTAGCCTCCATGTTATGGCACCGGTTAGCCTGTCTGGACCCTCCAACAGGTCTCATTGCCCAGATTCAAGTGAAGATTGTCAATTTCTTCTGGAACAAATTGCACTGGATACCACAGTCTGTATTGTTTTTGTCCAGAGATGAGGGGGGGCCAGGGCCTGGTCCACCTGGCTAGCAGGACAGCCACCTTCAGGCTCCAGTTCATTCAAAAGTATCTGACTGGACCTGAAGATCTGGTGTGGAGAGACGTGGCCAGCTGCATACTCAGGCGTGTCAATAACCTGGGGCTGGATGCTGCTCTGTTTTTAACTGATTTTAAATTCTTAAAGTTAGGTGGGTTGCCTCCTTTTTATCAGGGTGTTTTTAAATCCTGGGGGCTTTTTAAATGTAAAAGAAGTGAGAAGTGTAACTCTCTGCACTGGTTATTAAAGGAGCCTATAATCTGTGGTGCAAAGATGGACGTGTGCTGCAGCACCGTGCCTGGGCTGATGGGGGGTGCTGTGCAGCTCAAGAGTTGTCTGCCTCAAACAACTGATAGATGCAGCAGGACCAGAGCTCACAGATGTCCAATCCCTGGGCTCTGTGCTGGGGGTGCGCTCTGTCCGGCTGACGCAGAGGAGCCTAGAGCTCTGGAGGAGGAGGCTGACGGAGAAGGAGAGAATCCTTCTCCTCAAATACGGCAGGGGAGAGGCTACTGAGCCTACACAAGGCTGACAAAAAAACTCTGTACACAAACTGTGTAAAAACGATCCACAAAACTCGCCTGTGTGACAGAGCGCAGTGTGTGTGGACTGAGAGGCTGGGTGGGCTGAGCCCCCAGTGGAGAACATTATACAAACCTCCTCTAAAAAAAAGAACTGGAGATCTCCAGTGGAGGATTTTACATGGTGCCATTGCCACCAATGCCTTTTTATCTGTTCTTAATCACAGTGTTGTAAAGGAGTGCCCATTCTGTGGACTGACTGAGAACATTTTCCATGTTTTT